TGAGATTTAAAAAGTTAAATTACATTAAGTGGACAGTTTGGTTATTGAAGAATGTGTACCACGTTCCGATTTTCCTTTAAGCCACGCTGGTTCTGCAAGCAGCACTTCATAAATTGCTCTGTAATCTGAATTTTTTGAATGTAAAATATTTAAACCTTCCAACCTAGCTTAGGCACAGTCTCTCTGGGCTCCCAGAATACTTTTCCTCCTTGAAAGAACAGAGTCTGAGCACTGTATCAGTACTAAAATAATTGTGTTGCCCCAAATGAACGCTGTGGGATCTCACTCCTCACTGAAACCATACTTATGTTCACAAAGTCCACTCCAGAGTTTATTAATAGTTCCTCCACACATCGGAGTAAAGCTGCTTCCTCTTACTCTCATTTGGAGCACACTCACCAGTATTCTTCACTGAAATAAAGCTAAATGCAACAGGATTGCACAGAATCAGAAGTCCTGTTTCTCTGAGGCTCCTGGGCTAAGATCCATTCCTGCACTTCTGTTCCCCAAGCAATGTGGTTCCAGAGTGCCAGGGACCTAATTCAGCAGCCAGAAACACTCCTGCTCTTCACAGAAAGGCATCCTTGCGTTTGACTACTTTAAGAAAGTCTCCGAGAAAACTCTTATGTTTCACTTAAAGCTTTTTAAGGAAACCTGACTTGAATATTCTTTACAAACTTAGCAATGTTCTTTTTCTTCCAGGTATCCATCTGAAACTTTTAAGTGAAACAAAAAGGAAAAGGAACATGCACTCCTCCTAATCCAAGCTTGCCTCATTGCATTTTTGAAGACCATCACAACGAATAAATAATCCTCCTTAGATAACCGGCAGGAAAAGCAATGGATTTATAAAACTGCACGTCCCTTAATTCTACCTCAAATATTTACACCACAGTAGTTAAGTATAAAGTGGAAAAGTGAGTAAAAAAAAACTCTCAGAATAATTTAATAGTAGTAGTTTAAGAAATATACATTTACTGCAAAGCAAAAAAAAAAAGTAGTAGTATTTCTTTAATCTGAGATTCACCAGCATCTTAATTTGGAGCCCATGTTCCCAAAGCATTTTCCTTTTTGCCCCCTTCCAGGCTCACCAACAGCCCCTGTACCATTAACATATCCCTTTTCCCACAAAACAGGGCCTCCTACATTCCAAGCCACAGCTCTCCCTCTGAGGGGAAAGGGCAGCGTTCCCTGGGACCAGGCTGGGAGCGCTCAGAACGGCTGCCTCCGCAGGGCCCCGCTGGCACCAGGGCTCTGGCTGCGGGCCATTCTGTGAAGTACCAAGCAGCCCAAAAGACGGATTTAAGCAGCAGCACTCTCCTTGGGGCCACAGCTGGAAAGCTGTCTGCAGGCTCCTCGGCAGAAGACAAATGTGTCCTGCTTCAGACCCACCGAAAGACATTCTGCTTTTCACCCCAAAACTATAAAAGATGCAGGAATTCAATGCATCTTCAGAGAAATTTTGCTCTCGTTGGCTGCAATGGACTAAAACAAACCGCAACTTTCCAAGGGCGGCAGCTAATCCCAAAGATCTCCCCTGTTTCGGCTTTAACCCAGCCCTTTGCACAGTGGCCTTCAGGGCAGCAGTGCGGCAGGATTACCCATCTCCCACGGCAATCCTCTCTTACTGGCTCAGCTGGAAACTCCTGAAGGGCTGAAAAACCTTTGGCATATCTTTGTTAGCAAATGAGCATGAGCCTAAATAAAAGGCTGTTATGTAAAACAACTCTGCATTTGTAATAATGTTAGATGACTGCCAAAAAGCAAGAATAGGGCAATAATAAAATCACCATTTCCCCCTGCAAATATACAAACAGTCTTTCCTCTGGCTGAATAAGCAGCTTATAGAAAATATAGGATTACAAGAAGAGCTTTTCTAGTCCATTTTGTCTCTTACCCACCCACTAGTTCACTAAATAGACTGGAAGTTTTGAAACAAGAGGGCTGTCTCCAACACTGGGAAATTAGGAGTCCTCTTAGCCTCAGGCCAATGAGGCTTTGTTCTCATGACAAATGACTGTCAAACCCCGCAATTCCCATCTCAAACTTGCTGAGTGTCAGATTTTTGCCCATCTCCAATATAATTGCAATTATCCCCTCTGTACCCTGCTACGAAAATATAATTCTATGCACTAAGACTTCCCAATGCTGATACTGGCTTGACTAGGCAACTCCCGTCCTTGTGGTATCTACATCCTGAAATGGGTTTTTTTTGTTTTATGAGCCAAAACACCCTACCCATTATGCAGACAACGGTCAGGCTGGCGCTTGTGCGACAGCTTCCTTGCATTGCCAGTGCACTGGCTTTGTCACTTTGTATTTTCTCTCCGTGCATAAGATACTACAGAGCCCACAAACTATTTCCTCTGTTCACCACTTCAAAAAACGGCATTTTGAAGACAGCTCTCATTGCACAGGCAGTAATGGGTCTCAGCCTTCCCTAAATCACAGATGTCAGTCTCTCATCCTGAAAAGGCAACTGGTAACACATCCATGCCCAGTGCAAGATGCATGGGCCTGTTCCAGGGGAAACATGTTGCTAACAGGTCTGCATCTCATCAGTTCTGATATCCCAAAACCTTGGCCACGCTGCAGCACTCCAATCACGTGAACAATCAAACCCAGATAAAGATTTTATAGTTTGTTACTAGGGCAGGATCAAAAAAAACAAAGTAACTAAGATGCAAACAAGGAGCTCAAACAGACTATTTCCTCCACGATGTATGGGTTTTTGGCTAATTTACCCATTTCTACAAGAATGATCAGAAAAAGACAGTACCTAAATAAGCCAGAACTAGTGAAAAAAGCAGGTAAATCTGCCTAAGGAAACAACCATTAACTAAAAAAACCATCTTGCCAAAGGGCTCTGTGCTGCCTACCAGCAATTTTGCTCATCTGCTCAGAATGCTGTCTTCAGACCTGATCGCGGGAAGAAAAAGAAATCCTTTAAGAAGGAGAAGGCTAAGAATGAAGACATCATTTTTCTAAAACACAGAATATTCCTAGAAATTAAAAAAACCCAACATTTTATACTAGGCAGCATTTTTAAAAAGTATAATCATGTAATTGTATTATAAAACGCTTAATAAAATACTCATTTCTCTAGAATTGGCCAAGTTCATTGCTCTGAAGATTCCTGAAACTAATTTTCCAAAAGATCCAAGGAGTGTTGGTGTGGGCTGAACAACACCCATCGTACTGACATGTGATCCAGGAGATTAGATTAAATCCACCATGGAAGTAAAAAAAATAACCCTGAATGATCATACAGTGGTCATGGGGGTGCTTCAGCTCTAGTTGCTCCAACCTGCTCCTCTGCTCTGATCGTGCCAGTGCTAAATGCATGTGCAGCCTATGAGGACATCCTTGGAGTCATCCTCCTCCCACTCCCATGGGAACATAAAGTAGATCAGAGTCCTCTGATAGGAAGGCTTGGATTTCCTGAAGAATTCCGGTGCAGAATATGCAGGTCTGAACACATTCTTCATAGCAGTAATTACCTAATTTGCACGTGGTCACCTCAAACGCCTTGAAAGCCACATTCATATAGGACCTTCTATAGCTAGGAGCTCCTCTTCTGATCCCACAGCAACAGTAATACCTTGGGAATAGTTTTGCATGGTCTATATACTGCATTAAACTCAAAGACTGGCAAAATGAGTTAAAAATAAAGAAAAAACAAACTGTACACTCCAAAGCCAAACAGTGCACACCTTTCTGAGTACTAGGAAAAATACTGAAGCCTGCACAAATGCCCACAAATCTGACCTGCTTCCTGGCATCACAAAGAGATACTCAAATATCTGATGAGATCTAGGCATATTTAAGCAGTACTAAAATACTCTTTTTCCATAAGATAATCAAGTACTGCAGAGTAGGTTCATCTTGAAGCATTCCCGGCACCCTCCTCAAAATGAAAGTAGGGATTAAAATAAAAGCATTTGGGAACTTAGGTAAGGCCCAGCCTAGAAAGTACATGTAAACACAGTATGAACGGTTATAATCATGTATAAATTCTAACAATTTCTCCCGCAACACATGCGGCAAAAGACAACACTAACTGAAATACTCAATGTTTATCCCAAATACAAGCTCTATAAAAGCAACAATCCAGCTTGTTCACTGCTTTGTTACTGTTGACTTTCAATACTTGCAGACTGGTGATGAAATATATAATGATTCGTCATGTGGATCTGTCTTGCTGTGAGGCAGGATTACCAGTCTGATAGACCTTGGGACAGGTCCCAATAATATTTTATGGGGAAAAGAGGTGCCAAGAGACTTAATCTCACACAGCATTCATGCAACATAGTAAAGAACACTACCCAGATACCTGAAGCTTAAGCTAATCACAAGTATGCTTTACCTTGAAAAGTGGAAAAACAACAAAGTTCTTTTTATCACTTACTATGATACAGGACTACTTTCTAATATTTAGTGAGGCCAGAATTTAAGTTTACATCATTAAGGCTGACATCATTAAATTTAGCTTAGGCATACACACATCATCTGCCAACATCTGCAATTGCCTGAACATCACTGAGGAATGAAACAACTGAAGAACAGAAATCTAAAACTTTATTTACGCTGATAGGAATAATGAAAGTCAAAATATTTCATTACAACATTTTAAGAAAACAAACTCAGGTCAAAGATATCCTTGTCACTAAAATAAACAACTAAACACACTGTATTGCCCTCATGTTGGAATTAAGTGATATCATATACCTTTAAGAATCTTTAATCTATGTTGTATGTAATCTATATGGAAGGAAAATATGAAAAATACTAGAGCGCGCCCAGGACAACATGGCTCCAAAAAAAACTAAGCAAGCAGAACAGACACACAAAGGAGTTATAGTACAGGGTCCATTTTTGAACCTGGGGGGGATAACAAAAGTTAAGCACAAAACAGAAGCAGATAAATGGAGGAAGAGTTGCCCCATTTCCCCACTCTCTTGCTGCTCCCTCCAAGTTTTCACCCACAATTAGTTGCTTACTGCATATTCTTCTGGTGTAACCTTGAGAACATCAAATACCACAGCATCAAAGCTCTTCTTCAGTTCAGCTGAGCCTTTGTCACTTAGGGATTCAGAGCTGCTACTCTTCTGCAGAAATACAAACAAAAGCATAGATTTTTATTCTCTCTTTTTTAATCCTTACAATCATTTCCTCCTCTCACCCCCTAGAACATGACTGAAATTTTTCTGCCTGACAAATTATCAAAAAAACAAAAACCAAAAACACATAAACAAACAACAACAAAAAAACACAAGACAGTTTCCCCTGAAGAGATACCTAACACGAGAGGGTGTCAAACAGGCATTAACAGACGTTGTTTTCAATGCAGAACACTTGCATTTCAAGGCATCATTCATGTCTGTTTTGAGGACAAGATATGGTCCCTCTCTGCATGGTCCCAGCATTCTCTCCAGAAAAACCTAACAAGGCTTATTACTATGGCCATACTACATATTGTTGTTTACATTTCCCACTCACAGAAATGAGAGTATTAGGGTTCCTGAAAGCACTTACAAAAGAGTTACGTTTTATGGTCTTGAGTATTTAAGAACCAAGTCTTGCAATCCTTACCTCTGAAGCAGTAGCCACAACATTAACACTGCTTGACTGTCCGTTCATTAGGTCCATACTGCCCACACCATTAATCTTCTTTCCAACATTTAAGGCAGCAGCATCATCTCCAGGGCAACAGAATAAGCATTCCTATAACGGACAAAAATAATCACAAGTCTTTTTCAAGTGTTCTTTAGAAGGATTCAGTACCTGAAATTTCTAACAAAACCCAAACAACTTTAAACAGTTATATTGCCCTGAAGCCCAAGTGTTAGATTCAATTAAGTCATTTCAGAATATGTGTTTAAGAGTCCTGATACAAACGACTGAAAATTCCACTACAATCTATTACTTAATTGCTACTATAGAGATTCTTCCCCCCCACATTGCCTTTATAACAAGCATTGCTATGTAAATCACAGAATCACAGAATGTTCAAGGTTGGAAGGGACCTCCAGAGATCACCAACCCAACCTTCCTACTCAAGCAGGGACACCTAGAGCACGTATGTAAATACATGCAAATAACCCATAGCTTCCTATGTCTACAGCATCAGTTATTTTCCTTTGATTGCAACCTTCAAGAAGCATGCTCAAGACCTTAACTCTATTTTTTTAATAGGAAGTTATCCAATTGCTTCCTATTTTATATTCCCATTTACCAGCTTCAAGTGAAAAGTATCACAACAAAAGCACTTGAAAAATACAGGTGACAAGTTACCTTCCAAGTTTCCAAAAATTATTACCCAAATTATTTTTTAGACAATAAAAACACCACTAACATAAGCTTCTGATGCTCCTCCTTGTAAGAATACACCATTTTTAGTTTTTCTTTCTATGGAGAAAAGGCTGCAAAGAAGTTAAGAATTCTGGCTTCACTATGGAAGCCACAGGACTACCTTATAAACAATGTAGATACAATAAAAAAATGGTTTTGACTTAAATTTCGTGGGATGTTAGTGCCCTCTAGTGTGAAAAGGAGGTTATAAATTACTTTTCATAGTTGCGCATTTCTAACAAGTCTGACTTCTTCCAAATTTGCTATTATTTATCATATTCATTTAGGTTTGCAGGCTGTAAATTAATGTACATTAACCCTAGCTGTAATGTAAATTAACCCTAGAGACCATCCAGTCCAACGCCCTGCTCCAGCAGGGACACCCAGAGCAGGGGGCACCCGGTCACATCCAGGCGGGTTTGGGAGATCTCCGGAGAAGGAGACTCCCCAGCCTCCCTGGGCAGCCTGGGCCAGGGCTCGGGCACCCTTGTCCTGTCACTGGCCACCACTGAGAGGAGTTTGGCCCCTTCCTTTCTACATTCACCCCTCAGATACTTAGACACACTAATCAGGTCCCTCTCAACCTTCTCTTCTCCAGGCTAAACTGGCCTAGCTCACTCGGTCTTTCCTCATACGGGAGATGCTCCACCTCCATCATCTCTGTTGTTCTGTGCTGGACCCTCTCTAGAAGCTCCACATCCCTCTTGTCCTGGGAAGCTACTTAACTGTACTAACAGTTTATGGCAAAGGGAAAAAAAAATCTCAGTCTTTGGCTTGTGACTTAGTTTCCAACGCCACCATCTTTCACCTATCCCAAATACCCTCCAGATTGTCTCATGGGACATACTTCCAAATGCTTAGCTCTCCAATGCCTCTTCCCTATTCCCCTTCCTTGTCATTTATTGAAGAGGAAGGAGATAAACCACTAACTGATGCAATTCTCTTTTATGAAGTGCACAGAGCACAGAATCATCGTATCTCCAAGCCAGCCTGAGACTCTCTGCGTGGTCCAACGTCATTCCTGTCCCCAGGCAGGAAGGCACTTGTAAGCTTTATAATGACACAGTATAACTGCAGCTGCAAAAGTATCTATATTATAAAAGTCTGTAGGTTGGCAGAGCAACCTTACACAAGCAAGGAAAGTGATTCCTCTGTAAGCAACACAGCTAAAGCCCAGTTCCCCAATGATTAGTCTTCTGTAACTCCAGCACATCCAGACAAGTCACAGCAACATATTCCACCCCACACATATCGCAATCCCCCATATAAGATGTCAACTCTTGGCCTTGACTGTTCCCTAGCAGCACTCTGAGGGACAGCAGTTTTGTTGAAACCTTCCCATCTACTTCAAGTGTTAGGCAGACAAGAACTGTGCTGACCTAGGAGCAGAGCAAGCAAAATAGGTCAGCATGGAAATTTTATGCCAGAGATTTTCACATTAGGGTGGAGAGTACAGAAGTGGCGAATATTGAGCTGGTTCTTCCTCCCCTAAGAAGCCACTGACTTTGGCGGATCTTGTAAGGACTCTATTCTTATGAGCACCTAAATACGGCAGAATTGGCCACTACTCTGAAAAGAGCGGCCACGTAAGCAGGCAGAGAAAACCACCACATATGCTGCAGGAAACCAGACTTTGCTGGTCTTCCCTCCCCAAGGCTTCAGAGCATCACATGCTAGAAGCAACAGCCCCAACCACACACTCCCTTCTGCAATAACAGACTGTGCTTTTGCAGCGAAGTTCAAATTTCAAAAACTGTCAGACTGGCAAGACCATCACAGGCACACAACAAAAGGTGCGTTCAATCTTGCCTTAATAGGTAGAAAAATGTTTAGAAAAGCTTTATAATAAGAGGAAACTAAGATTAAAGGCAGGCCCTATTACTTAAAGGCATCCAGACTTCATTTTGTACCCATTGCTACATTACCTTTAAATATATTTACATACTAAATATTTATGAAGTAGCAAAAAACATAGGAGGCAGAAACAAGAATATAAATTAACATTTATCAACTTCCATGTATTAGAACATGCAATATTACATAGTAATTTGAGACCTTTATTACCTATGAGGCCACAGTACCCTTCCCAAAACAAGAGAACTTCCAGCAACAATTTAGGCCATCCAACCATTCTAGGCAAATGGAAAAATAATCCAAATGTTAGAACAATTAACAACATTGAGATCTCCATGGGCCTTCTGCTTAACACCACGCTAAACTGTAGTCAGCAGCAGCAGGAAGAATGATCAACAGCAGAGTTATTCCAAACACCGTAACGGGACACATGAAGCCACTGTTGCCACCCCCAAGTCAGGCAGCTTTCAGAATGTGCCCAGTATATCCAATTACAAAAACTAAATTACATTCAGTAATTGGAACCTCTAGCTTGCTTCTCCTCTTCAATTTAAGTTCTCAGAAATGCATTAAATGCGGACGTGAAAGAGTTTCATATGAAGCATAAAATGCTCAAGACGAGTGTGTATTTGTGCCAACCTGCAGCCTGAGCTCCTGTATCTTGTGCTCTCCTACCTCTTTAAGTCAGGCAGTCTGTGCAAGGGAAAAGAAACACAGATTCATCAGCTCAAAAGAGTGAAAGTACCCAGACTAAGCAAGGGCAGCCATCCTCCACGATCCTGAGTTTTCACATAAATTCACCCAAGGCCATATTTGACAGTCATTCCATTGCAACAAGGTGCCTAATGAGACATTTAAGCTTGAATCCTTTCCACAGCAGAACCCAGAAAAATCCTTGCCACAGTCTGGGTTTAACACTGCCTGAAAAGAGAGGTGAAGTTCTGATGTGCTGCTGCTTTTTTCCTCTGGTATGTCCGAGGACAGGTATTAGAGAACTCAGTTATTTAAGCACTGAAAGTGCATTGAGAATATTAAAGTTTTGCCCTCCTTCAATTCCTTCTCCATTATTCAAAGTTACTCCCAATTTAACAAATTTCTGAATAAAATAAATAATGGTCTTTCTCTAAATGCTGAAAAAGGAGCACAGACTTCTTCAGGAAGAGAAGGATCTCTCCTCACACCAAACACACATAAAAGAGGAGAAATCAGACCTGGGAGGTATGTCTGGAAGACAGGAACTACTGACATTTATTTGCATGAATCTCAGGTAGCAAACAAAATAGAATACGAAAGATTTGAGCAGAGGCAGATGTTCAAATAAACTATGCAGAACTATAATATAATCTAATCCTAATATATGCAGAACTATAATATAACTTTTCCACAATTAGCTTTTCAAAGGCATCCACCACACAGTCTTGTGGCAATCAGTTTTGCTTGGCAAACAAGAGGAGGTGAAGATACCACATTGGATTAAGTAGAGTTGTTTGCAAAGTATTTTTTTATGGTTCAGAACAAGGACAGAATCTGTGCTTCCACAAAAGGAAGAATGCAGCCACGGTCAATGCTCTGAAATGACATAAAAATAGCATTTAAAGCAACAGGACACTCAAGGCTACATTAGTATGAACTCCAGGATCAATAACACTACTCAAGAAGCATCTAGATCTACACTTTTGCCTTATTTCTGGATGTTGCAAACAATACCTTTAAGGAGAAAGAACTACTACAGGAAGTGTTTATCAGGAATTATACAACACATTCACCCTTTAAAGTATTTAGATACAGCCTTTTGATTCTAATGTTTGGGGCCCTTTTACAACTGGAATAGCAAAAACTCCAGCACAGTAGGAATTCCAACAGAAGAGAAACTTGGAGGAAATGATTCTAAGAGGCTACAAATGGATGCACATGGGTGGAAAATTGTGACTGTCCAATAATCTTCCACCAACTCAGAGAAAGGTGAGGGCAAGATGCCCTGGAAGCTCAGGGGTGACACAGAGTGCAACAGCTAAAGAAAAAGCTGACTTATCTCAACACCGAGGGAACCAGCAGGAGAGCTTTGTTTAAGATAAAGAGCTGTGACAGTTGAGTGAGTCAACTGCCTACAGCCCAGGGAGTAGATCAGCTGGTGTAAATGTTTCTTCAGGAGTTTATCAAGAGCATGTGAACACAAACACGTCCCTGAGCTAGCTACACCAGTATGGGGGAAGTGGACACACTGCTCAGGCCAACACACACTCTAAAACCTGAACAATCAAGAAAAAATTCAGACAGCAGCTCCCAGGAACCTTCCAAGTAATCTTTAATATCAAAACATTACACTTTCTAAGTGTGAAACAGGAAAAGGAGCCTGATCAGCAAGTACTGTACTCTGACACAAGTCTTCTGAATAGAAGTAAAGCATTTAACAAGGAGAAAATTGGAAAAATATATGAATGAAACATTTTATGGGCAACTTCACCTGCAAGACTTGAACAGTAGTGATGATCTTAGACAAACTAACAAACAACATCTTA